GTCAGAAAGCATGTGTTCTCCTATGCCCCCTTTCTAACATTTATGGGCTCAAGTGAGTCTAGTACTTTCTGGCTCTACCATCCTCATTTGTTAAGTGAGGTGGTCAGACTCAAAGATTACCTATCTCTATCTTCCCAGGGTCTGAAGATAAGGATGCCTCCAACTCTATGGTGAAGGATCAGTGTACAGTGCCTGGCATGGCTCTACAGGAGATCAGTGGCATAGAGCTTGAGGACGATACTTGGGAGGAGGATGGGGCAGTCCTTGGGAAAATGCTGCTGTGTACAGTTCAGGCATGAAATAGATTCTGGCATGAAACCGAGGGTTCTTTGGGGTGCAAGGGGGTGACTGGAGAAGAGTAAGCCTTCAAGTGAGATCGTAGTGCTAAGGATGGCAAAGGTGAATAACCGGTCTATTTCTCCCTTGGCAAAGCACCCACTCTTGGACATTGAACACCTTTTGTCCCCAAATCTTGCCAATGTCTCTTGGGCCCTCCTCATATAGTATTCAGCCTTCCCGATCTGACTTAGTGCCCCATCCCTACTGGGGAACAAAGGAAGAGAAGCACAGGTTTCTCACCACATAGCCAGAGAAGATGCCAATAGGCCTGATGGGTTTGACCCTGATGCCTATATCTCCTTCTTTGCCAGAAGGTAGGACATTGCCATTATCATCTATGACCTGGAAGAAGAAGTAGATTGGAAGAATGATAACAAAGCAGGATATGACTTGAATGGCAGCATGAAATTACTGAGTTGGTCAAATGGAAGACCCTCTTGCTCTAGAAAAGTCTGAAACAAGAATCAGAAACCAAGGCAACTCAAGAGTCTTAAACTCAGATCTCAAATCCACCTGCCTGAGATGGTTTAGGGAAGCTTCTTATTGAGACCAGACCAGATGAGCCTGAGGAATTGCTTCTGGCTCTAAGAACTCAGAAAAAATAATAGTCTCCCATTGTCTCTGAGACCCACCTCACCTTTAGACTTAGAAATCAAACACATCAAAACTCAATATACTCTACTGCCTTATTAGCTGATAGTGAACTACTTAAGTTCTCTACCTCAGTTGTTTTCCTCTGTAAAACAGAGATATTGGAAACTTATTTCACAGGATTTTTTTATACAAATGAAATAAGATACTAAAAAGAGGACTCAGTAAATGGCTATCATTGTACATGGAGTGGCAGATAATTGCACATAATACCAAATAGCATATAAACAGTAATACTTTAGATACACAGAACAATACACATAACCACAGGTGCACAAATTCAAGTTCTAGTTCTTGGAATTTATCACTCCTCACACCTAGAAAAAAATAAAAGAAAGAAGAAAAACTTTAGCTACAATATACTAATTATATTGTTGTTTTTATTATTGAAATTTTGGAAATCAACCATTGGGCCAACAAAATACGTAGAGAGTGATGAATTTATGCTATCTTCTACTACTTAGTAATTTAAAATTATGACGTGGATAGGTATTAATTGATCTAAAATGATGGTTACCTAAGACCGTTAAATGATAGACTCAAGTTACACAATGTTATGTCAAGATTCACCCCATTTCAGTTTTTATTTATTTATTCAGTTGGTTATTTATTTTTTAGCTTAGAAAATATAGTTTATTTAAAGGTAAGAGAGAGAGAGAAAGAGAAGATTCACCTCCCCAAGGTAGAGAAGGGAGCCAAAGCCAGGAAACATGGCCTGGCTATAGGTCAAAGAGCACATGGCCACACCATGGCTTAGCAAGACAAAGGCCCCTATTTCTGTTTCTAAAGTGTATATTCTTATGAAACTGTCTAGCTAATTTGCTAGATATTCAAAGAAGCTCTCTCTGGATGGTAAGAATATAATTTATAGCCCCTTCTCTTCTCCTCCTCCCTCCTTGCTTTTTTATATTATCTTAATATCTCTTTTTCTATTATTTTTAACTCAATGAACAGTACAATAAATAAATTACTGAAAAACTGGTGTTTTTCCCCAATTTCCTTCCCTCCTTAATGCCCTTAGCAAACCTGCACATCATAACGGGGAGAGGCTGTTCCCATGTATCCTGGTTTGATTTTCATTGTCTTGGAAACTCTGCAAGTCAGTCCCTGTGGAAAGAAGCCGACAGATCAGCAAGCCTCAGGAAGAGGCACAAGGTCACAGAAGAAAAAAGAAAAGATTCAGCAGAGCAGGTCCTGACACTATCCTTAGGTTGACTCACACTGGGTGGCACCCTCTCTGTCCATTCTCTGGCTGTCTCTCTGCTTCACTAAAACCACAATTCTAAGGGCTTTTCTCTGTATTCTGCATGTTGTTTTGATAAGTAGCACAGTATAAAACAGTGTGAATCCATACTGTTCACAAGAAAGCCCAAAATGTCCAATAAGATATCATGTGAAGTGGGGTCTTAATCAGTTATTCTCCCTGTCCCTCATTAAATTGTCTAGAAAGCAACGTGACTGCTCCCTAGGAAGAGGAACTAACAACCGCATTATAATCTCTTCAGGTAAAGACAGCTTTAATAAGAGACTATGAATACCCCAAGACCTTTCAAAACATATGGAATCTGCAACCTGTAAGGCATAAAAGTTGCTTCTTAAATTATCTCCCATGTAAAAAAAAATTTGGTACATATACACGATGGAATATTATGCAGCCATAAAGAGGGACAAACATATGGACTTTGCAGTAACTTGGGTGGATTTAGAGTTGGTCGTATTTGGTGATCTGCCACAAAAAACAAAGAACAGAGTACCATATGTTCTCACTCATGAGCAGACCTTGAACAATTATAATACTATAAAAAAGCAATTGGCAGTAGTGGGAAAATGTCGGGGCAGAGGGGGTGAGATTGACAGTTGAGGGAAACTGCTAGGGGAGGGAGGGACATACTTCATCATCAACGGTACCTGCATAATCAACATTTATATATCTAACCGTGAATTGTACCCCACATCTCTATAATAAAGAGAAATATCTCCCATTGTACAAAGAGGTTGGTGTCCTCAGAAGTACACTCTAAACATGTCTTTTCTGAATAGCTGAATGCCCTTGCCAAGGTATGCTTGCCACAGTTGCATTGTCCTCATCTATATTTGCTCTTCCTCATGGTTCTACACCACAGGGATGCCATCAGCCCTCTACAGGAGTTCTGCCAGGTGGACCCATTAACCAAATAAGGATGTAAGGTCAGAGTGGAGAAGAAGAGGCAAGAAGTGCTGAGGGTCACAAGGAAGAGACAGTGGGGAGAGGAGAGAGAGAGTTGGGGAAACATTTTAAAAAGTGGCTCAGTATAGAACAGTGTGGATCCATATTGTGCACAAGAGACCACTAGAATTCCAAGAAGATAGCTCATCAGGTGAAGTGAGGTCTTAGTCAGTTTTTCTCCCAGCTCCTCACTTAAATCTGAGCAGCTTAGTATGATGCCTGACATGTTTGATAAACTCAGGTCTTTGCCAAAATGTTTCCCCATCACAGAAAACTTTCCTGACCACCATATCTGAATTACCAAGCCCCCATCCCATCTTATCTACTTTGCTTATTCCAAAGTATTTCTCACCACCTAATTGTGAGACATGCTTTAACTATCAAAAATAGTTTAATGCAATAAACTATTTCTTAGTTTATTGTCTCTCTCCCCAATTCCAAGGGAATGCAATCTCCAGGAAAGCAGGAGCTTTGCCTGTTTATTTGAACACACAGAGCCCATCCCATTGTATGTGCTTAATAAATACCAAATAAGTAAATGATACACAGTGATTAATATTTTTACTGCCAGAGAGGCTTTTTTGATGCCCCAAAGGTGCAGCCAGTTCATGGTTTCTTTTGCAACAGGTACCGTTTCTGTCTGGCCATAGAATTCTCGGATGTCCAGTCCTGTCTTGGCCTTCCAGTTCTCCAGGGTCTCTGGGAGCAGGGTCTCCCCTCCACTGAAGCAACTCTGTAAGTGTGGGAACTTGTAACTGAAGAAGAGAAATAAGTGTCCCCCCTCAGCCTTCCTGAAACCAAAGTTCTCCCAGGCCTGGAGTGCTATGATGATGGGGCTGGCTTTACAGGCCTACCCATGTCAGAGAACCAGATAGATAGGCATGTGTCTATGTGGGGGAGGAAGGGGGAGGAACCCAGAGGCTCTGATCAACCCATGAAATCCCCGTCACCTGGAAAGGTCCTGTTGTAGCAACATCCGGTAAACAATGGGGGCACCTATCATGCTGTGGATTGGGTAGCTGGACAGCACCTGGAGCAAGAGAGCCAGTTGAGACACTGGTTACCAGGTCAGATGCCCAACTTAATAGGTATGCACAGTGGCTACAGTCATGAGTTATGAAGCGTTAGAGGTCTTAATTGAAATCCTAGTTTGCTTGCCATTTCTGTTTCAGGCTAAAAGAGCCCCATGATTCTCATGCACCCTTAAGACAAAAATAAATGTGAAATACTTATTTTGATAGTGAAACAGTCTAGGACTAATTTGGATCACTTTTGTCAAATCCCGACTGTCTGTTCCTGCTGATTTGATACTTGCCTTTATTAACACAACCCTAGAAACATACAAACTCCCAGTCATTTAAAAAAAAATTTCAAGATTGTTTATTCTGTCCAAACCTGAGGACCCCTTAGACCTGAGAACATCCATTCTCAAGAGGTTCTGAGAGCACATGCCCACCGTAGTTGAATGGTAGCTTGTTGTATACATTTTAGAAAGACAGAAATTATAAAACCCATAATGAAAAATTTTCATAGGTTTCAGTCCTGGAAGGAGGGACATTTCCAAGTGGGCTGGCAAGTCATAGGTGGATTCAAAGGTTTCTTGAATTTTGGAGATTGGTAGAGAAAACTCCCAGTCATTAAAGAAAAAGAGCAGCCACTCTTACAAATCAACTATGTGATCTTGGGTAAGGTCTTTTGGAACCAGCTTTATAACAGAGAGATGATTTTCAGTCCTGTTTTCCTGAACATATTTTTGTGGTATATAATTCACTATTAACTATTAACAAATAGTTACAGCATTAAAAAAGTTAAAAATACCTACATACATTTCAAAAGAAGTGCTGCAAAAGATCTGATACTGAATATTTGCCATTCCTTATGCGATCTCATTTGATTCTCATAATAACCTCATGGGGTATGTACTATAGTCACCAGTAAACAGAAGCCAGAGCTATGACTCACAGGGTCAAGTTACTTGCCCAAGTCTACATAGCAAGTAGTGGAACCAGTATTTGCAAAATGTGCCCTTAATATTATGTAAAACCATCTTCATCCATTGCTTTCTTTGTGAAGAATTTAACAGAGTCTGTTTTCTGTTGCTCTAACTGAATCTCTGAGACTAGGTCATTTATAAAGAAAAGAAATGCATTTCTTACAGCTCTGGAGGCTGAAAAGTTCAAAGTCAGGGAGCCACGTCTGGTGAGGACTGTCTTATTGATGGAAATTCTGCAGAGTTCCAAAGAGGCATGGAGGGCTCACGAGAGAGAAGCAAGCTAGCTTTTTATAACAGACTCACTGATAACTAACCCACGCCTGTGATAATCTACTAATCTATGAAATCACTAATCCATTAATCCCTCATGAGCCCAATCACTTCTTAATACTGTTACATTGGGAATTAAATTTCAACATGAGTTTCAGAGGATGTGACCATAGCAGTAGTTTAAGCAAAATGTTTAGGAAAAAAATGATCAACATGAGAGTATCACACAATTATTTCCTCCAAATTCTCTTGATGAATTGATGTAAGATATAAAAATCATCTCATATCATAACTTTTTTTAATCATCATAACTTTTGGTTTTTTGAAAGCAGGATTTATTGAGGACAGAACAGTTCCCACAATGGGAAGGGACCCAAAGGGGTTGCCCAGCTTAACTTTTAGTTGCCTACTTAGTTGCTATAGTCCTCCCCCCATACCTCCAACCCATATTTTCCTGATGAGCTTTGTACTTTTACATCAGTTTTCATATTTTGTTTTGTTTTTAATTTGTGGAACATAGCAGAAGCCAATTTAAATTCTTTTGAAAAGGATGCTAAGAATTTGTTTAAAACAGAGAATGCCAGTACCATTTGAAGAAAATCTTTAAAGAAAATTCAGAGCACGCCTGACTTTGTGAGTTTTGAGGATGTCATCCAAGGCTTAGTTTGCTTCAGGGGCCTTTGCTGCAGTCTAACAGATATCGGGGTGAGTCATCAACTGTTACAGAGATCCATGTAAGTCAAGTCCAGAACGACAGCTTAGTGAGAAATAAGCAAATTGAAACAAACCACAATAAATTGAAGTGTGCAAACTTGGGCTCACACTGAACATTCAGGGCAAGCAGGATTCTCTCTTACCTTTAGAATGACCACTGGATCAAATTTTGGCAAGAGATGGATAAATGTGCATGCTCCTATTGACCAAGGTTCCATAAACGAGCCTATGACGTTCAGTATCCAACCTGTGTCTGATATGGTCCATAAAACTTCAGAGGCCTGCAGACCTGTCCAGCTTCTGAGAACACAGAAAAAACACATGAACATATCAGTGAGTGCATGCAGGAGGGTGTAGAACACAAGGGGAGGGATAGGTGTGTGGATACAGGGGTGTGCGTATCCGTCTGTGTTTGTGTATGTTTGTAGGAATGCATTGAAGTGTAAGTAGGCAGAGAGAAGGAAAGTTGTTCTATTCACACATTGTATGGCAACAGGATGAATGTTTCGAAGGTGTGAGCCCAGCTGACATGACTTAAATAACTGAATCCCATTTTCATTTTTTCCCTGGAGCAGTACAGTTTCTGGCATGTGTATCTACTGAGGAAAAGTCTACTAACAAAAGGCTTCTAGATCAAGAATGTTCTAACAGGCCTTGCCAAATTCAAGTTTGGCTGAGTAGACCTTTGGTTCTCTTTTTTCCAAGTATCATAAATTGTCTAAGCACAGCTGAGGGTCTTGTACAAGGTGAAACTTATTTCTTTTCTCTCTTCGGGGCAGAATAAAAGGTGTTAGGCCTGTCTTAAAGCAAGAATTATTTAGGTTAGACATTACAAGTGTCCTTGTGACTGGGAGTTGCCATGGTATGTTCTTTCCTGAAGACGATTAATACTTTCAGCTCTGTAGGAAAATTAAATTATAAACACATCAACACCAAATTTAGGGGGATGGGTGGAAATTTAATATCTTCATTATAATTGAGTAATTTATCCCCTATCTTTTAAAAACTTCATTTCACTATAATTCTTCTAGTACATAATTTTTACTAACTAACTTAATTTGCTACTATTATGGACTCATGGGCAGAGCATTTACATTTTTTAAGTTATTTGTATTAAAATTTTTTTCTCATTCTAAAAAAAAACTTATGATTGGCAGGGTATACTGAAAAAGGCTCTGAATATTTGTAGTTATCATTGCATAAAAATCTTAACATAGTGTTTTCTGATTCTACAGATAAGGTTGACATAGCAGGAAGAAAATTCTGAGCTATGAAACCTGAGATACATAAATACTAAAATCATAGTTCATCTAATTCATCCAAATATACCTTCCAAGTCAAGAAATGTGCAAAGAATGGCAAAATGCCCTCCTCCCTCCCCCCACCCCCAGAATGTGAGTACCTCCTCAAAGAACAAAATAGAAATCAGTTTGGGGAAAATGCATGCCAATCTTGGGCTAAATATTCTCCCTAGCAGATGGCTCCAAACATGTTATCTAAAACAGAAGTGTCCCACGAAGATCACTGGCTACCCAGCATGTGAAGTCATGCCCTCTTTAGCCTTCCTTCCCAATTGTCTTTCTCAGAAGTACGAGATGGTAGCCCAGCCCAGGAAAATTGAATTTGAATTCTGAATAAGTCTTCATGCCTGGTCATGGAGTTCTTTTCAGAGAGAAAGGGCTCAACTTACCCAGCATCCATCTTGGACTTGAGGCCCAGGCTTGCATGAGAGTGTTCCGCCATCTTGGGAGGGCCACTGGTTCCACTAGTAAAATAAATGGCAGCTGCTTCTTGGCTTCCAGTCTCCACACAGTGATGCGTGATAGATGCCTCTCTGATGGAGACACAGACTGTCACCTTCGTAGATTTAGCCTGGACACCAGATATCATAGTGACCCGTCTTTCTTCCCCATTCCCACTGTTGACAAGGGCAAGCTAGTTGATCCACTTCAGAAGTGAGGTTGTTAAGTGTTAAGATCATGAAATTCTGTGTCAATCAGACTTGAGTTTGAAAATTACTCGGGTTTGGCACTTTGTTAATGATGATGTAACTTTGGACTAGTTATTTAACTTTTCCAAGTCTCACTTTTCACATCTGTGAAATGGGATCAAAAATACCGGTCCTGTCAAGTGATTGAAAAAAATTAACTCAATCACAAAGGAAATGAGCAACTTGCTAAGCAAGAACTCAATAAATGCTAATCTATTTGTTGTTGAGCCCTAGCCTGATGCCAAGTGCACAGAAGGTATGTGATTAGTATGCATTTTCCCAGTACTTTTTTGGTACCCTCTTCTACTCCCTGTAAGTATCCACATACCTCTCAGACATCTCCAATGTCTTGACTTTGAGTCTCTCAAAGTTGCTATCACGTTGTTTATTTATCTGATATTTACCTTTAAGACCATGACATTAGAAAGGAAAAGCTGAAGTTTTCCTTTAGACTTTCCTAAAGTATGTGTCCCTGATAGAGGGATTTCAGACATGCAACAGGGAAACTCATTTATCCAGCCAGTTTTGCTGTCAGCTTCTGAAAGAACACATGGAGAGTCTTCTGTCCTTGAGAAGCCCAGAAGGTGAACAGAAGACTCAAGAAACTCAATATAACAGCCATCTCTTGGGTTTTTCCTGTCTTACCCCTGTTTTAAGCCATGAATACAGTGACTAGTCCTGGGTAGGTTTCAATCCAGTTGTTGTGAACACCATGTTGTTTCTAGTGTGTACCACAAGTGAATGCTTTGTGCCACAGGGTTTCTCTGTTGCAAACATGGCATGGGCCCCTGAGTCACTCTTCATGCATTGAGTCTACAGCCCAGAAGCGTGTGATTGATAAAGCCCTTAAACTAATTAGGGTCAGGTGCTTATGAATTCATGCTCATCAATCCTTAGTGGTCCCCAATCTTTTTGGCATCAGGGATGGATTTCATGGAAGACGATTTTTCTATGGATGAAGGTTGGGGAAAGTAATAATCAGGCTTTAGATTCTCATAAGTAGCATGCAACTTAGATACCTTGCATGAGCAATTTACAATAATGTTCATGCTCCTTTAAAAATCTAATACCACTGCCGATCTGACAGAGGATGATCTCTGCTCACCCACTGCTCACTTCCTGCTATGACCTGGTTTCTAACAGGCCATGGACTAGTACCAGTCTGCAGCCTGGGGGTTGAGGACACCTGCTTTAGTGGACAATCTTAGTGGAGGCATTCTTTGTGCTCCTTCAGAATTTCCCAGCAGGTCAAGCTCCACTTTGCACTTGCAATGACTCAATAATAAATTCTTGTATTAGTTTTTCTTTCTTCCCTGCTTCAGTTTTTCTAGTTCTGCACTCTGCTTCCTTCATCTTCCAAATAAAACACTTGCACATACGTGTTTGTTACACTTTCCACTCTTGGTGAAAAACCAGGCTGAGGCATGTAGATACTCACTTTAGTAGTGTCTTGAAGTTCAGCCACCCATCCCGGCTTTTCTCTGACACCAGTAACTTAATTCTCAGTGTAGGACATTTAGGTGTCACCATGTCCACTTCTTGGGCCACTTCATCACCAGCCACAATGGCCTTGGCCTTGGACATCTGTAGTCTATAGAGTATGTCATTGGATTTCAGCTGGATGGTCCCAGGTATGAAGACAAGGCCTAGAGAAGACAAATGATTTAGAGAACTGGGAAGGAACATTTTCTTAGGCAAGAGTGCTTTTAGTGTTTGTGTGTGTGTGTGTGTGTGTGTGTGTGTTGTATAGTTGTATGTATTTATGAGGTATGAAGTATGAAGTAGTGCTATGATTTTTAATACTATTTGGAGTGATTAAATGGTGTAGTATAGTTGTATATAGTTACGAGGTATGAAGTGGTGTTCTGTTTTTTAATATAATTTGGAGTTATTGAATTAAGCTAATTAATTTATCCATCACTTCAAATACTTAATTTTTTGTGATGAGAATATTAGAAATGTACTGTCTTTGCAATACTGGAATGTTCGGTATACTCAATTATTAGTTATATTCAGCATGCTTTTCAATTGTTCTCAAAAAAATTAGACCATCCTCCTATCTAAATGAAGCTTTGTACCATCATGCCCCCATTTCTTGTTCTTGCTTACTATCTTGATGAGACTCCTATAATTTTATTAATCTTCTGGAGAACAACTAGTCTCGTGTTTCATCTTTTATGAAGCTGATACCACATGCTGCTCCTCCTGATGCATAGCCTTTAACCCCAACTAATTTTCCTCCCATTCTTGGCACCAACATTCTCACTGCACACCTCAGCTCAAATACTACTTTTCATTGAGACTTTGGGACTCCTCAAATTAATTTAAATCTCCTCTTAGACAAGGCATTGGCAATCTTTTTTATGTAAAGGGCCAGATTGTAAATATTCTAGATTTTAAATATTCCAGTAGCTCCCTGTCACAACTATTCTAGTCTGTATTAGAGTGAAAAAGCAGTCACAGATCATATGAAAGTGAAAGGACATGGCTGTGCTCCAATAAAACTTTATTTCCAAAAACAAGCTGTAGGCAGGTTTTAGTCAGCAGGTCATAATTTGCCAACTTTATTTTTATAGGTTCTTATAGAATTTTCATTCCACTTATTAAAATTTTGACTAAATAATTATGCATGCAGCTAATAATTGAAGAGTTTTCTCCAGAGATCTGTAAGTCCCATTAATACATAGACTGTGGTTTATTCGCCCATCATAAGCAAACTTTTGCATAAGTGCTTGGCACACAGTTTGCTTTAGTAAATGGAAGAAGGATGTTATCTTCATATGAGGGACAGCATCCTCTGTGGAGAGCACTTCTTTTGGGAGAAGTGGCTGCATCTCTCTATCACCAGTTTCCTTTCAAGAGAGACAGTACCCAGTCCAGGTGGTCAGCTACCAACCTGCTCGAATGCAGCCAAGGGTCACCAGCCACCACTCAGGTACTCGCGGTAGCACCACTGCCACGCGGTCTCCACGTTGCAGGCCGCAGGCCCCCGAGAGGACATTGGCTACCTGCTGGCTGACATCACTCAGTTCTCTGAAGTTCCACATCCTCTGGTCCCCACTGTCACTCACCCACCACAGGGCTGGGCTTGGGGGTCGCTTGCCAGCCTGAGGGAAAAAAGAAGACCTGCTGATGTGGGAATGTTGGTACACAAGCAGGTAAGATAAATTCCAAGTCTTGAGACTGCCATATCAGTCCTTAGTAAGCTTTTTGATCTCAGGACCCCAAATGCTCTTTAGAAGTATTGAAAAGTTGAAAGAATTTTTATTTATGTAAGTTATATCTATCAATATCTACCATAGTAGAAATCAAAACTAAGAATCTTAAAAATGTATGCTTTTAAAAATGACAGTAATAGCCGGGCTCGGTGGCTCATCCTGTAATCCCATGCCTTTGGGAGGCTGAGGTGAGTGGATTGCCTGAGCCTGTGGGTTCGAGACCCGCCTGGGCAGGCGAGACCTCATTTCTACAATAAATCAAAAAATTAGCCGGGTGTGGTAGCGTGAGCCTGTAGTTCCAGCTACGTGGAAGGCTGAGGCGGAAGGATTGCCGGAGCCCAGTAGGTCGAGGCTACGGTGGCCAGGAGCGGCCACTGCACTCCAGTCTAGGAGACAGAGTGAGACTTGAACTCAAAAAAATAAAAATAAAAATAAAATAAATAAAATAAAAATGACAGTAATAAATCCATTATATGTTAGCATGAATATTTTTTAAAATTAAAAAGTATACTTTCTGGCCAGGTTCGGTGGCTCAACAGCCTATAATCCTAACACTTTGGGAGGCCGAGGCTAGTGGATTGCTGAGCTTGTGGGTTCGAGACCAGCCCAGGCAACTTGACGAGACCTCGTCTCTGCAGTAAATAAATAAAATTAGCCAGGTGTGGAAGCACGCCTGTAGTTTTGGCTACTTGGAAGACTGAGGCGGACGGATTGCCAGAGTCCAACAAGTTGACGCTAGGGTGGCCATGAGCATGCCATTGCATTCCAGTCTGGGCGATGTAGTGAGACTCCAACTCAGAAAAAAGAGTACACTTTCCAAAACAAACAAAAATAATAAGAAGAGTGACCTTATTTTATATTTTTGCATGTTAGACTGTAAGATTCTTTCATTTGCTTTTGCACTTAACTGTGTTGTTATATCACTCAGCATGCACCTTCTGGAAAACACCACTGTATACTTGTGACAAAATGAGAGTGAAAAAGGAAGATTTATTTATATGCTTATCTCTCTATATCTATGTATTCACTTATTTTTGTTTGCTTTTACCTTGTGGCAAAATATATGTAACAAAATTTAGCATTTTTAATTACTTTTAAGTATAAAGTTCAGTGGCATTAAGGTCATTTATATTATTGTGCAACCATTACCACTATCCATCTCCAGAATCTTTTATATCTTACAAAACTGAAACTCTGCCCTCTTACACAAAACTCCTTATTTCCCCCCTCTACCTCAGACCCTGGCAACCACCATTTTGCTTTGCTGTGTTGATGAATTTGACTATCCTAGGTATCTTATCTAAATAAAATCATATGTTTGTTGTTTTGTGTCTGGCTAATTTCACCTAACATGTCTTCAAGTTTCATCCATGTTATAGCCTATTGTCAGACTACCTTCATTTTTAAGGCTGAAAAATATTCTGTGATTTGCATACACTATATTTGTTCATCAATTTGTCTGCTGATAGATAAATTTTGGGGTTGTTTTGACCTTTGCAGCTATTGTGAATAAAGCTACTGTAAACATGGCTGTACAAGTATCTCTTTTGATACCCTGCTTTTGATTCTTTTTGATATATATCCAGAGTTGGAGATGCTGAATTGCATAGTATGCTATTTTTAATTTTTTGAGGAACTGTCATATTGTTTTCCATGATAGCTGTACCATTTTACATACCCACCAATAATGTACAGGGATTCCAATGTCTTTAAGTTTATTTATTTTGAAATAGTTTGCACTTCATAAATCCCCTGAAAGAGTCTTGTGTGTCCTTGGGGGTTCCCAGATCATAGTTTGAGGGTAGTAATACAAAGCCAATGAGAAAATATGTCCGTTATTTTGTTAGATATTTCAAATTTGCTCTCCATCGAAGTTACACCACTTTGTAGTCACATCTGAGAGTGTCTGTTATCTTACAGCCTTGCCAACAGAATGTGATGTTGAACTTGTATTTAATATATTATATTATTTAAGTAAAGTTTTCATTTGCATTGCTCCTATTATGAGTGAGGGTGAGTATTCTTTTCTATAATTAATGGCCACCTAGGTCCACTTTTTTGTGAACTGTCTGTTCATGTGCTTTGCCCAATTGTATACTGAGTTGTGCCTTTTTGTTCTTGTTTTCTAAGAGCTGATTTTTATATTAAAAATATTAACTATTTTGCTGTCAAATGAGTTAAATATTTTCCCCTGGCTGTCATAGTTTTGTTTTGTTTTTTTGGCTAATGATATTGTTTGTCAAGGAGAAATTGCTTTTATGTTGATGTAGTAAACTTACTAAACCACTTCTGTTATGAATTCAGAATTGTGAATCAAGATAAGAACTTTCTATATTCCAAGGAAGTGAAACTTTTAAAGACAATCCAGAAATCTAAAATTGTATCTGAAAATTTTCAATTTAAAAATGTTGACCTACATCTTTCTTAAGAGTACCCTGCCCCTGGGGTCATCTTCAGCCCAGAAGCAAGGCCTTTGAAATCTTTGCACTCAAGTTGTGTCACAGTGTTGGGAACTCAGGACAGCGACACAGTCATGACTCTCTTTGAGCACCTTATGATAAGCCCATGCTAGTAAATTCATCTTTTTCTCTACCCTAGCCAGAAGGAATCCTTCCAACCTCCTGAAATGCTCCTGGGATTTTAGGTTTAGCAATGATGAATCAGCAGTGAATGGGTTAGAGCTGGAAAGGAAACTCAGGAATGTCCGCACCATTCTCTTTCTCTGATGTTTCAATTTGGAGCCCTTTTGATAACCCCTGACTGAAAGTCATCCTACTCACGTGTCCCTAATGCTGGGGACACATGACTGAACTTTCAGAGAAGACATTAGTCAGTGCTAATTTTCCCTTATTAAACTCAAACCCACCTCTTTTATGACCCCAGCCCTCTAGTCCTTGTTTCACCCAGGGAGATCACAACCCAGCATGCGTAGTGTGTGTAGGTAAACTACATCAGCTGCCTAGGAGTTACCAGATGGCCCCACCATCTGCCAGATTCTTGTACTCTTCTTTCTTCCAAGCTCATACTGTACCCTTTCTACCCCATGCTGTCTTCATAGAAGATGAGCATCTTCTTCATAGCTTATTACAGCGCCTGACACAAAATAAGTGCTCAATAAATTAAATCATTGAATAAAGTCAACCAAAATGTCTCACTCTCTGACTCTTTTCCAACCTATTACCTTCTCCATGTCAGCCCAGTGATCCATCACATCTCTAGCAAAGTTAAACTTGGCAGGCAGTTCCTGGTGGCCCCACGGCACAGACGCCAGTTGCCTTATATTAATGTAGAGAGTGTGGCCGGACATCTGAGGACCCCATAGGGTGCAAAGGCCCCGAAATTTCCACAGCCAATGCATGATCAGACCTGTGAAGAAAATAGTAGACCCAGCTGAGATCTGGTTTAACAGATTGTTCTACTAATCATTAGCCACTTCGGGAGATTAATCCCCACCTACAGGGTTCTTTCCAGGAATTAATTTGCTGTGGTTATGAGTTAACTGACACTCAGGATCTGTTATCATCTCTTTCTGGTATGCTATTCTCTAAAAGTACAGAAGACTCTACACTCAGTCTAGATCCTACATCTTCCACACTCCTGAGAGTTTTGTGAATACATAATTCCAAGTGATAAAAACCATTCCTGCTCAAAATACAGTGAGTAGTTAAGATTGGATTCTTGTTCCCAACAAGACTTACCAGTACACTCTGGGAGATGAGTATGTGTCTACCTCTTGTTGACTTCGATTTGATCATGATATATACTTTGGTCAATGAGATGTGAGTGGGTATGATTGTGTGGTTGGTCTGGCATTTCTGCCCTTTGTATGATAACTGCATATCTCAGATCAGTGCTGTACCTTCAGCCTGGGTCCCATAATAATAAGACATGCGAAGCTGAGTTGAACCCTGCATGACCACTGATAACACAAAGACCCACAGGGAAAATGTATGTGGCTAAAAACTACTAAAATATTCAGAATGTTTGTTACTGTAGCAAATGCTAACTAATACAAATATGCTAACTAATACAAATATCATCTATTTTAAAAAATTGAATCTTGACTGGTACATCTTAAATACTAGGAACCTAGGGCACAAGTCCTAACGCAATCACTAGAAATTACAGCTGCTCTTTTTGAGACCATCACCAAAAGTGGCAGTGGCCAAAACGAAGTTCAATCCCTTTGTGACTTCAGACCAAAGCAAGAACCACAAAAGGCATTTCAATACGCCTTCCCACATTCACAGGAAGATTATGTCTTCCCCTCTCTCCAAAGAGCTGAGACAGAAATACAATGTTCTATCCATTTCCATCCGAAAGGATGATGTTCAGGTTGTGCGAGGACACTATAAAGGTCAGCAGATTGACAAAGTAGTCCAGGTTTACAGGAAAAAATATGTCATCTACATTGAACGGGAGTAGCGGGAAAGGGCAAATGGCACAACTGTCCATGTGAGCATTCACCCCAGCAAAGTGGTTATTACTAGGCTAAAACTGGACAAAGACTGCAAAAAGATCCTTGAATGGAAAGTCAAATCTCACCAAGTAGGAAAGGAAAAAGGCAAATACAAGGAAGAAACCATTGAGAAGATGCAGGAATATCTTAATTTCTTATACACAACTTCCATTAGAAACTGCTAAGATGAAAAAAAAGAAATCACAGCTTTATAATTGTTGTTTCAGTATACTTTGGTTCTAGGGAGTATTGTTCCAAAGCTATGTGGGCTGGTTTTTTAATTATACCCAGTGCACCTTGAGGAGGTTGCAGATTTTAAGTCTAACAAGTTTTGATTTAAGGAATCCATCCATCAGTCCAGCCAATTGATTGGATCTCCAGCCCTTTATTACTAGGCAGCAGTCAGATGTTCAAGGTCTCTGGCACTTATGTATCTTCTCCTATTTTCTGTATAATAAGAAGTGAAGATTTCCTTACCAGTTCCTGGGCAGAAATATCCATTGCCTTTTTACCTCCTGGTTCCTCTCTATGCCCAAAGCTGGTTTTTCTCATCCTTCAGACCTTACCTCTTCTGAGATGCCTCCATCTCTGACCATCATCCAACTCCCAGCCCCCTTTGACTGTCCTTCTCCCAACTGCTCCAGTCCTTCCTTCTTATTGTGCTAAAAGCACCTTTCCCTCTTTCCATTATTGCCTCCTTACTAAGACCCAGCAGACATTCCCTTTCACAGTCTCTGGGATGGCTTTTCTCTAGGGATTTTTATTCTACTCACTAGTCATGGCTCCAAAAGATCGGTGAGTGTCATCACGGAGTATGACCCCATTAGTCCAATCCTTACAATAGCACTCACTTGCCAAGTCTTTTCAAGGAGTCTTTCTGGGAAGAGCTTGTGGACTGGAAGAGCTTAGCTATTCTCCAGTAAACATCTCTAGAATCCCTGCCGCCTTGGAGGAGAGCACAGCTAACCAAGCAGATGGTTTCAGAGTCCCTAGAGTCTTGGATGAGAGCACAACTAATCATTAATGGTGGATAACTTTGGAGTCTTAGGGTAACATCTGTCCTCCTGGCCAATTTTGTGAACTTTACAACCATAAAGGCTTGGGGGCCAACTGAACCACCTCTTTCAGTTCAAGGGGCAAAAGGCAGGTTTAGGTCCAAGTCTGACAGTGAGTTATTGCTCCAACAAAAGAGAGACAAAAATGGAGCTCAGATGGGCTTAATGAACTCTCTCTTGCCTCTTCTATCCTTTTCTCTATAGAAATCAGGCATACACTTTTGCCTGATTCTCCTCTTATTTGCAGTCTCTTTTACTGATTCCCTCCCATCTTCTTTATTCACAATGACCATATCCATAATCTCATCCAGTGTCACAGCTTAGATACCTCCTGTCCTGCCAATGATCCCACACATTTGTCTCCAGCTTGGATCTCTCTCTTGTATCTTCATCTGCTTGATTTCTCCACGTAGATGTCTAACAGGCCTCTCAAACAGACGTCCCCAAAGCTGAGCACTTGATGTTATTCCTCCCTGCAATCATTCCACTTTAGCTGCCCTCTTATCCATCTCAGCCAGTGGCAACCCTATCCTTCCAGTTCTTCCAATATCAAATATTGGATTATTCCCTCTTTCCTTTCATACCTGGATGAGGCAAACCCATTCATTCCACCTCCAAGCTGTGTCCAGGATCTGACCCATTCTCCATTCTCTTCCCCATTCCATCTCCCTATCATCTCTCTCCTCTAGGGAGTTTTATGGCCTTCTCACTGGTCTCCTTGCTTCTGCCCTCGGCCCTTGCAGTCTATTCTCAATGCAGCAACTAGAGTGCTCCAGACCTAAAACCAAAGTCAAACCATGGACTCCTCTTAGTGAAATCCCAAGTCCTCACTATTATATACAAAGTTCTTGCCTCAATGACCTCTTCTCCACAAACCCTTCCAGGTTCATTTACCTATAGCACTTTGCTGTTTCACCTACATGTCAGACAGAGCCTTGCCTTGGGGCTTTTATACTTGCTTTTCTCTCAGCCTGAAATTCTCTTCCCTAAATATTCAAATGACCAACTCTCTTTCTTGCTGCCTTCCGACCCTCCTTCTTCAACAACCTGATCTCACATCACAGTCTTCCATCTTTCTGCCATACTTCTTCACTTTGGCCATATATATCTCACAACGTATATTTTACTCACTTCTTATGCGCCCCAGCACCACAAAAAGTCTCTGATGGCAAATATTTTTATAATTGGTAACGCTATTGCCCAAGTCCTAAAATAGTGCCTGGTACATATCAAGGGGTTTAATAAGTAGGTATTGACCAAATGTTCCTTCTCCACCCTCAGGGCAATCCTGTGATGCAGGGATTATTTTTATCCCCTCTGAACAAATGAGAAAGCTGAAACTCACAGATTCCAAGATTTCTGGCAGGTGAAAGGCACAGTTAGCATCTAAATGACCATCTCTCTAGCTCCTCTTCTACATTCTTGTCATAGGGGTTTTCCATTATCCCACTGAAAGTTCACTCTTTTGTGCTTCTCAGGGCTCTAGTGCACCTTAATTTAGACCGGGGTCAGTCAAACACCAAGTGATCTGGGTAATGATTTACTCCTTTCATTCCTCCCCTGTGACTTCTCCAAAGATCTAAGGTTCACTTTCATGCCCGTCCAGTTTTCGGTGACTGTGAGTTTAGTGAAGTAGCAAATGTGTGTTCATTGGAACCTGAATTCACCATTTAATATTGGGTGACTTTGGGTAAGCCATTGATCTCCCTAAGTCTCAGTCTCCCCATCTGTGAAATGGGGTTCATAAGGTATATGTGTGAGGGTGTGGTGAAAGAATGCTTACAAAACAGCACAGTCGGGCATCTAGTAAGACAATGAATGTGAACTCTACTGCAGCTTTGTTTGGGGCCTTCACAAGATCAAGAAAACAGACATTTTTATTTTATTTTGTTTTATTTTATTTTATTTTAGTTGGAGTCTCACTTTGTTGCCCAGGCTGGAGTACAGCGGCACGCTCATGGCCACCCCAGTGTCAACCCACTGGACTCCAGCCATCCTTCCGCCTCAGCCTTCCAAGTAGCCAGAACTATAGGCACACGCTTCCATGCCTGCCTAATTTTTTATTTATTGTAGAGACAAGATCTCACCAAATTGCCCGCGCTGGTCTTGAACCTGCGGGCTCAGTCAATCCACTCGCCTTGGCCTCCCAAAGTGCTGGGATTACAGGCTGAGCCATTGAGCTCAGCCAACAAAGACATTTTTAGATCACTGAATGGAGAAAGTAAAAGCCTAGAGTGGAAAAGTAACTCCCTGTAGTCACACAGCAAGTTATTTGTAGACACAGGTTTGGAACCTTAACCTCTTAGAGAGTTTCTCACACCCATGCCACCGACTTCTAGTGGATCCTAGGGCTCTGAGACTAGAGTTGGAAATAAGAGGCCTCTGAGCTGCTGAGACAAGATGTTTTCCAGGACCACCCACCAAGAGGAAAAATATCACAGCCAGATAAGCAACCGCCGGAATAACAGGCCATGTTGGAGCCTCTATTTTCCTAGATGAAGAAAGTGATCCTATTACTACAAAGCTTCCTGTTCCCTCCTACCCTAGATGGCCTGAACCTCAAGTGCCCACTCTTAAAGAGTCATTCCTTTGAGGTGCTGGCCACTAGCAGTCCATCTGCTTAAAGGGCCCTTGTGGGGATGGAGCTCCTCCAATAGTGAGGTTTCTGTTGGAGACACAAGCACTGGAAACAGAGGTCCACAGGCCAGCAGCAAGGTAGAGTGCCAGATACCTGGCAGTGAATAATTGCTGAGGACACAAAGGGACAGAGAACCAAAGAGAAAATGTATACCTGGAGAGGACTGCCAAAAGTAATCTGGGCTACTTCAAGGCTTTTCTCTGGGTCAACCCTAGAAATGAGATGGCTGGAAAATCTTTTTATATAGATCAGCAACCACAACCTGGGAAAAATTCCTCACTTGCTCTGGAAATGTTGGCACAGTTCCACCTCCTGCCTACAGACTTAATAACATATGAACACTGCCAAGATTTATAGCCTGCATCCTTTGAAGCTGTGACCTGAATTGTACCTGAGGTCATTTGAGCTATAATTGGACCAGAATGACCTAGATTCAGGAAGCAGCATCATGGGGTAGTACAAGGCAGCAGGATCCCAGGCCTGTCCCCTGAAACTATTCTGTCTTCATTGACCTCTGGGCCTGTAAGATCTGACAGTTAAGTTAGTGAACTCATCCTAGAAAAAGTGTTGCATACCTCATTGCTGAATACCACTACAGTCACTTTTGAAGGACTCCCCTTGGAAAGCTATGCACTGATGCCAGTGCCTAGTCCACCCATCAAAGCAAATTTTGGAACACTTTTTGGAGTAACCATCAGAGCTGTTGTAATATTACCCTTGATGTTCTGAATGTCATTTTTAAAAAGCCTTTCTTTCAATATTTCCTTTATCTTCGGGTAAAGAAAAAGTCATTGGGGGCCAGATCAGGTGAGTATGGAGGGTGTTCCAATACAGTTACTTGTTTACTGGCTACAAACTCCCTCACAGACAGTGCTGTGTTAGCTGGTACATGTCATGATGCAAGAGCTCCTTTGGGACCATTCGGCACATATCTATCTCATGCCAAGATTTTCAGTTAAGATTTTCCTGTTTTTCTATCAGTGTTTATTTGGTCTGCTATACTCCTCACAGTCAGTCAAAATATTTTAACACACAGTTCAATGAATTTTTGCAATGTTTTTATCAGTTCTGCTTGTTACTAGCCACCCTGACCTCTCTTCATCAGTTATGCTTTCTCTCCCCTCAGAAAAATGTTTAATTCATTTGTACACTGCCATTTTCTTTATGACATTATCCCCATACGGTTGGACTAACATGTCCCTGATTTCACTTCCACTGTTGCAAGTTTAACAAGAAATTTAATGTTTGTTCATTGTTCAAATTCAAACTCTGACTTTCTTGTGACGGCCACAAAAACATGAACGCTACTCAGCAAGACACCACCACATATCAACATGAACACAACTGTAAGACATTGATATACCAAGGTTATGAAACCCTACTGAGTTGTATGTTCGGTGCTGCTAATGTAAGTGCAGGGTGGCAAGTTCATTAACTTAATTGTCAGGCCTCGTGTAACAACAGGTCTGACAACCATTCCGGAAAAAAGAGCTCCAAAATTGCTTTTTCGGGTGGAGTAGGTACTGGTATTGGTGCATAGCTTCCCAAGGGGAGTACTTTGAAAGTAACCATAGCACTGTCTGTGAAGGAGTTTTTGCCAGTGAACAAATAACTGTATTGAAACACCCTCCATACTCACCTGACATGGCCTCCAATTACTTTTTCTTTAACTGAAGATAAAGGAAACATTGAAAGAAAGACTCAGCAGTGAGGTATGTAGCACTTTTCCTAGGATGAGTTCACAGACTTAATTGTCAGATCTTTTCGGTGATTTTTGAAATGCCTTGGGAGCCCTTTTCCTATTGTCTTGGCTATTAGTGCCTGGCTCACTTCTAGTCATGCTAATCTCTTTAGGAACATATCTTTCCAGATAGGCCATTCCCTTGAATTTTTCCCCTGAAAATGCTCTTTCTTTCTCTACCACATATCCAGACTTAAAATTTTTGAAATTTTTAAGTTCTACTTCCCTTTTAAATACAAATTCTGCCTTTAGGTCATTCCTTTGAGCTCATAATACAATGTAAGACGTTAAAAGTAACCACACCACTTTTCAGCACCTTGCTGCTTAGAAATCTCTCCCACCAGATACCCAAGTCACCACTCTTGAGTTCAGCCCACAGCAGAACCCTAAGGGTAAAGATAAAATGCAGCCAAGTTCTTTGCTCTAGAATGACCTTTACTCCAGTGCCCAATTCAT